CTAACACAGTAGAGTTTCATAATGCCTTAGAGAACACCAATTTGATGCTTTGGGTTTTAATGTGTTGGTACTAAATTTTCAAACTCAGGCCAACTTAGAAATGTCTTCATATTGAATTCTTTCAACTCTGCGTCCTTTTAAAGGGCCCTAAAATGAAAATAAATTTTTAGTAGGTTAAAAACATATATGTACTTAAAAGATGAACATAACATCATATTTAAGGACATAAATTTACCCTTTCCCAATCGTCACAGTACTATTAAGGTAGCTAATATGTTCACCCTTCCATACATTTTAAAATTCATCTACAACATTCTTGTTGATTAGCATATTTTCTTCAACTGTATTTGAAAGAATTCGGGAAAGCTGTATTAACGTGTACTGAGGCAGAGATCTGGAGCCCATCATTGTCTCCTCTGCTCCCTTGACAAATAGTTATTGGTGTGGCCCTAAGACAGTGCTCTAAACAGTGGAAGCAAAGAGAGATGATGCTGATCACTTCCAGGACAAGGCACTAAAATCCTCCTCAAGCTGTCCATCATTCCCACCTCATTTGGCCAGCCAGATCCACACAAACATGGCAATCAAAGGAGTCACTTGTGGAAGATGGTCAAGTTAGGTGTTAGAAGGACTCTTGGGCTTACAAATAATCACCCCTTAGAAAAAGGTCATCCCCTGTTCAAGCATTTGCACTTGTAGAATGAAAAGTTAACTTATATCATATTTGTGCTACTATTTTACAACTAAAAGTATTACTTTAAGTAATATAAACACTCTAGTTTGCCTGGGTTAGCTGTGACAGGCTGGCCTATATTACAGAAAATAAATCCAACTTGAAATATATTTTCTTCTTTCCTTCATACCCAACTAAAAGGGAAAGAAGATATAATTAAAGATAATACCAACAGGTATTGGTATAAAGTCTGATATAACCTGGGAAGATGGCAGTGAAGAATGGGAGCTCTAGAGCCAGATCGTGTTAGTTCAAAGCTCACTTATCATACATAATTGGGCTGTTGGAAGAAATAAATTATACAAAACAGATAAAGTGCTTAGAAAACTATCCACAATCTAATAGGAGTATGAGCACAACTATAAACTTCCATTACTATTAAATCTTTTGGTTAAAGTTTACCAACTTTATAGATCAATTTTATCAAGTTTTACCAATCTTTTGGTAAAAGTTGATGATTTCCCTTGCAAACTCTTAAGACGATCACAATGACAGTGGCTTCATATAGTGACTTTTAAAATGGGAACCATACCTTCCCTTAAAAATGTTTAAAAAGATGGCAAACAACAAATGCTGGCAACGTTGTGGAGAAAATGAAACCCTTATTCACTGTTGGTAGAAGCATAAAATGGTGCAACCACTATGGAAAGCAGTACGGAGCTTTCTCAAAAAGTTGCAAATAGAAATACCATTTGACCGAACAATTCCACTACTGGGAATATACCCTGAAGAGACCATAGCTGACATCCAAGCAGATACATACACACCCAGGTTTATTGCTGCTTTGTTCACAATAGCAAAGATCTGGAAACAACCCAAGTGCCCACCAACAAACAGACAGAGAAACTGTGGTATATTCACATAATGAAATACTATGCTGCCTTGAGAAACAAGGAACTCATGAAATATACAAAATGGATGACTCTGGAGGACATTATGCGGAATGAAATATCTCAGTCACAAAAGGACAAATACTACATAGTGACTTAAGTTAATCTGTAAATGTCTCTGACAAATCAGAATCCCTTTTCCTTCCTCATCTTACAGTTTATTGTTGGTGAGTGACAGGTTCTAGATAACTACTCCCAGGGACAGAAAAAAACCCCTGCTATATGTATTTAAAGAACGTTCTTTGCAACATTTAAATTACATGTACTCTAAAACAGACCCCTGTGAACTCCACGAAAGAGCGTAAGTTTGGCAATTATATCCACTGTACTGGAGAGGAAAAAAGTGTCACTTGGAAGTAATGATAATGTGATTTAGTACTTTAGAAACTGAAAGAGAATTAGATCATTATGAGAAAGGTAAGTTTCAGGCCCTTCCTTCAAAGATAGCATAGACCTCACTTGGCCTGACTCAGAAGACCTATCAGTGAACTGCCAGTTTTCAATCAATAAGCACTTTTATTCATGTCAGAGATTTTTAAATTAATTAATTCTTGATCTTTGCTAATGCTTTATTAAAGGGGGACTTTAAAAAAAAAAGTTGATCTCTATAGCTCTTTCACCACTACCTATCACTGTAATTCCTCTATTATTTTAATATACAAATGGTTTTATATTAGAAAAGGCTGACCATTAAAAAAAGGTCAGGGCACAAAACTGTATATACAGCATATAATCTTATAAAAGACTGGAAAGAAACAGATCAAAATATTAATGACATGGATGCTTATGGATCATTTCTTACATTACTTCTACAAACCTGGATTTTTCCGTTTTATACAGTAAGTATGTTTATTCTTGGAGAACTAGAGAATCAAATGTCTTAGTAATGGCTACGTCATTAGAGCAAACAAGCTTAGAGATTTCCAAATAGGAGAGAAGGTGAACAGAAGGCACACTCTAAAATAAAACAAAGACCTAGCCAAGGAAAAAAGAACATACAAAGTACCTTTTTTTTAAAAATTATTATTTTTGTATGAGTGGACCGTAAAATCAGATCTGACTAGTACAGGAGGAGATTGTCCCTCCTTCCCCGGCAGAGAATCTGGTGGATTTGAACCGTGCACCTCTGGGATTGTAGTTGCAGGTCCTTGCCACTAGGCCACAAGAGCTCCCCTGAAAAGCTGCATTTTAAAATGTCTATCTTTATGAAAACATACTTACAGTTTCTATAACTATAGTAGCCGAAAAAGTCTTCTCATTGATGGATTCTAGAGTGCCTTCATTTCCTCTGTAGCCTCCATTTAAAACCAGAATTCTTTTTCCTAGCATAGAAAACAATATATAACATGTCATAAACAGAATATCCCCATTTCCTTTCTCATCTCATTTCAGTCATTATAAAATGCCATTATGTTGAATGAATGTAACTAAAACAGAACACTTCACTTAGAAGTTTTAATTATTTAGTAACAGTGTAATATTCCAGTGTGAATAAAGAATATTTTATTATAATACTTAATATTATAAACTCATTTATTTTTAAAGTAAGATGTCTTTATTTTAGACAATAAGGAACCTGGAGGATATACTCAGTTCAGAAATAAACAGAAAGCTGAGCTTACTTTTTCTTTTTTCAAAATTCTCAAAACAACTTGGCAACAAAAATTTAAACACATTTCTACTATATGCTTTAGCTATTTTATTTCTAAGTATTTACCTAACAGAAGTCATAAGTCCACATAAAACCCTGTACATGAATGTTCACAGCAGCTTTATTTATAATAGCCAAAAACTGTAAACCCAAAAGTCAGCCAAGGGATGAATGGATAAACAATCTGTGGAATATTCCTACTACTCCACAGAATAGTATGAGTTACTATTAGCACAGAGAGGAAAGGACTATGGACATGTGAAACAGCATGGATGAATCTAAAGTTATTCAATTACGCTGAGTAAGAAAAAAAAACCAAGACATACTCTTAAGAAATAGGACATGATTTCAAGTTTAGAAAATTTAAGAAATGCAAACTATCTAATAGCAATAGAAGGCAGATCAGTGGTTGGCTGAGAATATAAAGGAAGAACAAAGAGGAGGGATTATAAAGAAGGAAATGAGGAAAACTTAGGGGCAATATATATTCATATCTTCATTGCAGTGACAGTTTCACATGTGAAAAGGTACCCAACATTATTATTTGTCAATTATTCTTCATTAAAAGTAAAAAAAAAAAAAACCAAAACATGAACAATCTGTAAGGTAAGTTTTCTTTTATGGGCATGGGAAAGTGTAAGGTGGTGAAATTAAAAAAAATAAATAAATAAATGTGGACATTATAAAGGCTGATGTTATCATTGAGACTAAGTATCCAAATGATAAAGCCAATTAAAGGGAAAAATGCAAAAGAATAGATTTTTCATGTTACTACCTAGGCAGCTAACACAAACATAATCTTAATATAATTGATTTTAACTACAAATGTCTATGCTTCAGTAAAAAAGAATGTATTCTCTAAAAAAAAAATCAGAAATTTCATTCATGCCTCAAAACAGTTTTAAGAAATAAATGATAAGCTAGTTATCTGAAGTCAAATAAGGACTAGTTCTATTGGCAGCTATATTTCTTAAAAAATAAAAATAAAAAAGGAAACTCCTATCCATAATCATTAAAGTAATGTAAAAAAGCTATGGTTTTATGAATGTAATTACTCATTCTGATGGCATACTACACAATAAATGTCCTGAAAAACAATTTACCTGGTGCTGGTATTACAGTTTCTAGATGAGTTTGGTCAAGTTTCAGCTTTTCTCCAGAATCAAGCATCTTGACAACAGCTGTATATTTGTCAATTACTTCCTGTTATGTAAAAGAATATTCTTATTAAATGAATATAAATTTAAAAGGACAAAAATAAATAGAATGGAAAAATTAAGTTCCAATCAAAACATAAAAGTCAACTCCTTCTATAAATAACACTGTATTCTAGATTCCATATACAGTTTTTCTCAGTTTGAGTTCACAGTCAAGAACTCAACGTAATGTCTAGCCACGGTTTTCAACTAGAAAGACTCTTAAGAGACAAATAAGCTTGAAGATATGGCCTGATCATGTGATGCATTACATAGTAAGCTGCAAATCAAAAAGGTCATCAGCTGAATCATTAGCTGATCTTTAGGAGAAAAGTCTGCTTTAAGATTTACTCTTTGGAGGCAAGGATTCTGAGGCTCCATCTAACATACTTTGTTGGACATGTTGTAAGGAGAGACCAGTCCTTGGAGAAGGACATCATGCTTGGGAGGGTAGAGGGACAGCGCAGGAGGGGAAGGCTCTCTATGAGGTGGATTGGTTCAGTGACTGGGATAATTGGGATGGGAGTGTCAGAGACAGTGTGACTGGCATAGGACAGAGCAGGGTTTAGGGCTGCTGTACATAGGGTGGCTATGAGTCGCTAGCGACTCGACGGCACATAACAACAACAACATACCTGACGGAGAGTTGCTGTGAGTTGGCATCAACTCGAAAGCAATGAGTGGTGTGTTTAAATAGTAATTCATGCATACACAAAGCTAGGTGCTAGAATGAACTCATATTCACGGAGGGGCGATAAGAACTAAAGTATTGATAGGTTGCTTTTATGTACTGTCGAGTTGGAACCGATGAACAGCTGACCCTGCAGTAGGTTTTCAGAGGCAGTTACTTGCACAGTAGATTGCCCACCTTTCTCCCAAGCAGCGGCTGGTGGACTTGAAATGTGTACCATACTGGGTTGGCTGGGCAGTTCCTTACCACTAAGCCACCAGTGCTCCCTAGAGCATTGACATATATGTTAAAATCTTAGAACAATCAGAACAGAAGATACCTGAGAAATTAGGCAAAATACAAAAAGCAACTCTTGAGAACTCTGGTGATATAATCATAGTATCCATCATTAACAAAGAATAATCTTACTATGAAAGCATGCATACTGAATTGTCTAAGAAATATCAATAGGATGCTGGATATGCATATACAATTTGCCCAAGAAAGAAAACAGACCAAAGTGAAGTATATACCCATAGGCATTCAGTCAGTTCCACCTCACAGTAAGGCTCCGTCATTCAGTCAGTTCCACCTCATAGTAAGCCTCCGTCAGGTTTCTGAGGCTGCACATCTTTCCAGGAGGAGACTGTCAATTTTTCTCCCAGAGAGCAGCTGAAGGACTTAACTACTCACCTGCTATCACTGCTCCTTTAAAGTATATACTACAGGTCAAATGGAAACATTTCTCCAGTAAATATAATTACAGCTTTAATTTTATGAAGCCATCAAGAATTATAATACTTCTGCTAACAAGGTCTCAGTTTCAGGAGACATAAAAATAGTTTTACAGAGTCATCCATCACCTTTTGTCTACAAATTCTACTCATAATAGTGTCATGTCCTTACCTTAACAATACCCTTTTTCTTATGATATTTCTCTCCAAGTTTTCTGGTTATAATTTTTACAATGATTTCCTACAAAAATAGCATAAAAATAAAGATGAAAAGTGCAACACAAAAAAAGAAAAACAAAAAAAAATTAAAAAAAAAAAAAAAAAAAGTGCAACATAAATTATCTTCTCTATTTTATTTCTTAATTTATGTCATGCTTTATTAAAGAAGGTATGGGTTTCTTGAAACATTAGACAGGAAACTTAGAAAGCAACAAGTTTATGTTAATGGGGCAACAACTCAGAAAAAGGTTAGAATGGTTGCACAACTCCAACTCAAAGACTGTAATCATTCGCACACAGAGAAAACACTGAATTAGTGTTATGTTCTATTGTCTGTATTTGCAACAATAATAAAAATTAAGGAGTGCTTGTTGTTACTCTTAGGCGCCGGTGAGTAGCAACTAGTTCATAGAGAACCCTGTGAACAGCTCTGAATTCTGTATCCTCCTGAATCACTTGGGCCTATTGCTTTGGTCTCTGTTATCGACCATCTTGTGGAGGGTTATTGGTCTTTCACTTTTCAATTAATGCCAAAGCAGTTTTTCTTATTTAGCCAGAGAAATTCTATGCTAAATCTTTTTAAAGCCTTTATGCATTCATATTTTGGTCATTTCAAAACAATTTATATCATAGTGCTTACTGACCCTTGCCACTAATAGTTCTATTAAAAGTATTTCTTTCCTGAGTTTAAAAGGTAAAGCTCTACAAGTTTGTCTCTATGCATTGCTAGTTATTTTAACAAGTATTTCCCATTTCAAGACAAGACAGGTTGTCAGATCTATGGAATCTTCAGTTTCAACATAACATCCAGTAAAAAATGAATGATATGGAAAAAAATTTCAAATTTACTATTATGAAAATATTATCCAACAGAAAATAAAATTTAATTAGAATTATTATCAACAGGAAGATATTTTATTGAGTTAATTAAAACATGAAATGCTTTGCCTTTATTTCCTTATGTTTGTTTTCTTTTTCTTTTAAACAATGTTGTAACCATGAACACACATCAGAATCATAGGAGAAGTTTGTGAAAAATAAACACTTCATCCCAAGAGACCATACTAGGGTAGTATGTAATTTGAAATTCTGAAACACCAGCTGGTTAAAAATATTGCTTTAAATAAGCAATTTGTTGTTGTGAGGTGCTATTGAGTTGAGTCTGACTCTAAGTGACCTTATGAACAACAGATTGGAATCCTTTCCTATCCTGTGTCATCCTCATCATCTCTGATACAATATAACCTCAGGAGCCATAAACTGAAGACAAATACTTCTGCATTTATAATTCTATCTTTTAATCACATTTATGAAAACAAGACCTTTGTCTTATGGCAAAAGTTGAAAATTTTTGAAAAGTTGAAAGTCTTCAGTTTAAAGTGTTCAGTAATAAATTTAGCATTAAATTCACAGAACACTACTAGCCTGTAAGAGAAAGTAATCCAACCACACTGAACAGGTGAAAGGTAGGACTGTCTGAAATGACTGCATGATTAGACATTCTATGTATAAGAATTAACAACTGGAATAAGACATATATTACAAAGGGAACTGGAGGGGGGGAGGTAGGAAAACGTGTAACAGTGAATGAATGATAACCTATTAAATTGTCACTATGATTACAATTAAAAACAAGAACATACAAATGCAAAAATTCATCATGGCTCTAAGTCCAGCTTTATAATTTATATATACTAGATAATTTAGCTATTCACTCTAAGTACTATTTCAATCTTTAGATCACCCACTTAACGGTACACTTGGAGCTTAAGAAATGCCAGTTGAACACTTACAGGCTGTAGCCAGTAGTCTGTTCGAGCAGTTCTTTTCTTTTCTTCTTCAATCTAAAGAAAACAGAAAACAATTATAGAATTATCTTTTTAAAAAGCTTCAATTACTTTCATATGCAAAAGAAAAACATATATTTAGCAAAAGAATACCGTAAAACACACCCTTCACAGGTTATATAATTCAAAGGCTCCAATAAATGCAAACAATCATTATTTGAAATTAGCTTTTCCTAAAGTTTTTATTATATCATTCCCCTGCTAAGTTAATTGGCAGTTCATAAACTGTACCTCCATGATTTCATCAAGTGCAGATTTCTTTTTCTTCGCTCTTGACTGAGCAGAGCTATGGGAAGACTCTTTACGCTTCAAAGATGCTGCACTCCCAACTGTCTTCAATGCACTTGGCCCTAGAGCACTGATGAAAAGAAAAACCATTCTCATTATCAACTACACACAGCTAGCTGCTCTGTAATCATTTATCCATATTTATTACATAAATAATACATTTAGATTATAAATGATATATATCATCGTAGGGGAGGAACTATACATTTTTTCTTACTGTAAAGTAGCTATAGCTATCTCATGATTCACACAAAACAAATGTTCAGTACTGCTCACTGAAAGTGTCTTACAGTTTAATAATTTATCATACTTACTAAAAATGAAACATAGGATAAAACTTGTACAAAATTAACATGAAGATAAAAACAAAACAAGGTCTGATTAGTAAAGAATACAGTAGAAGTATTATTTTTCTATATTTCTAATATTACACTTATGAGCACCAAGTTAATTACTTAACTTAACTACTACAAGGCTTACCAGAAATTTTTTAATGACATCTAACATAGGTGCTAATTTTGCCTTCTGATCAATATTAAAGACATTTTCAAGTCATTCTGTTGAATCAGCTTGCCCATTTCCTTCAATATTCCTGGTCATTTATTTTGTCATGCAAGTAAGAACTAGCCCATACCCTAACTACAATGCCAAGTTAGGTCTTAAACAGTGTGTAAAATACTAAATAGCACAGAAAGAATCATTTAGCCTAAAACTTATTTCCAGCAGATAATAGTATCATACCTTGTCTTACATATTGTTTAACCACAGTAACAATGCATTATCTATTACAAATGTTTAACAGATACTTGATGAAAGAATGTCAGAATAATAAAAAAAAAAGAACATGAAAAGTAGAAATGAAATTTCTACTGAAATTTCATGAAATTGAAAAGTAGATTGATTGTTGAGTATCCACTACACCACAGTTTGGCAAACTATAGTTTGTGAACCAAATTAAGTCTGCTGCCCGTTTTTGTAAATAAGGTTTTACTGGAATACAGCAATGCTCATTCATTTATATAATGTCAGTTGTTTTCTTATTATAGCAGTGGTTGAAATAAAGACATATGGTCACTCAAGTTTAAAATATTTACCATCTGGCCTTTTACAGAAAAATTTTGCCAACCCTAGTTCTGTACTGTATCACTTAGAAGGGAAAGCAGTTTTATATTGAGTGCCTTAGAAAGTCATAGTATAGTAAGTATACAACAACAGCAAATGTATCTCTCAGCTGACATTTAGATTGTGGTAAGTGTATCAAGATAAAATAAACAATATTGCCACTTAGTCACACTCACTCATTGCCACCAAGTGAGAATTGACTCATGAGTGACCCTTCCACTGGGTTTCTGAGGCTGTAAATAGCCCAGGAGTCACTGTGCTATTTTTCTCCCTTGGAGCCACTAGTGGATTCAAACTGCCAGAGAATGAGTCCATCGCATTAGTGGCACAAACTTTACAGATTATGCTACCAGAGGTCCCTAAACAATAGTAAAATAAAAACCCAAACCCAAACCCACTGTCACTGAGTCAGTTCCAACTCATCTTGTCTCTCCACCAGGTTTCTAAGGCAGGAAATCTTTATAGGAGGAAACCGCCCATCTTTCTCCCTAAGAGGTGCTGGTGTGTTCAAACTGCTGACATTTCAGTAATTAGTTCAATAAGCTGCACACTACACCACCAGAGCTCCTTACAGAGAAAGACTCATGGAGAATGAATCTTTATAAATGGAAAGCATTTTATCAAAATGAGCTTTCCTCAAAAGCCATAATTATCTTACCGAGGACAAATAACAGAACACTTAGTACCAAAACCAACAAAAGCCATAAAGAAAGAAAATTACAACGAGAAAAATACAATGCACAATATAAAATTGCAAATAAAATTAAATGACCAATAGTTTACAAAAATCCCAATGTTTTAAGAGAAAACATGTAGCTCACCTTGTTTTAGATGATGCTGAGACTGCTGAGCTACGTGCTACTTTACTGAAAGTAAAGGCTCAGTGATCAATTGTACAGCCAACAATTGGGATCCTTAGAGGATGATGCTGAGACTGCTGAACTACATGCTCCTTTATTCAAATTAAATGCAACTTAAGGCAAGAAGAAAAAGGTTATTTCACACATATTTCAGGAAAATTGTAACAACCGTATCAGATTAATTTACTGCAATATCTTCTCACACAAAAAAATTATGCACATTTGGATTAAATGAGTTAAAAGTGCCCTATGCAGATACTACAAATCTGTCAAATATGCTAGACTGAGGGGGTAGCAGGAAGTGCTGCTTGCTTTCCCACTCCACTCCCTGTCTTCTCCCTTGGTGATAATGTTGCTGGTGTGTGTTGTCAAATTAGAACTGGCCCACAGCTAACCCGCCAGCAGGTTTTCAGGGGCAGTCAACTGCTAGGGAGGAGACTGCCCATCCTTCTCCTGGGGAGCAGCTGGTGAATTAGAACCGTGTGCCTTTGGGATTGCAGCACAGCCTTCTTATCACTAGGTCACCAGAGCTCCTTCTCTTGTCAATAGGACTCCATATTCTCAGGTGTTAATACCTGTCACATGTGACTCAGGGAAGGTCACACCATCTTCAGCTCTGGAATAAATTTTGTGTAAGTCAATCAGAATGATTCCATTCCTCTTTCTACTATTTTTTGGGGGGGTTGTGGCAGTTTTAAATAACCAGTATCATTCAAAATTGAGTCTGTTAAGGAGAGAGTGGCTTTTAATACATTGTTGACTGGGGTGCTCCAAGAGATGTTCTTTCCTTGTCTGGTCAATGCTGTGCCCAGATACTGATGGCTGGAATGTAACGGCAGCCACCTTGTGTCCAGCTACTAGTACTATGGTGTCTAGAATGGCCCTACCTCTGACATTCTTGATAGGGCAAGAAAATACATTTCCTTACTGCTTAGGCTAATTTTAGTCATTACTGTTAGTTAATAGCTGAAGATATTACATTCAGCTCATTAACATTACCTTTTTGTTTTATAAATGAAAAAAAATCAGATCTAAACAGATTAAATGTCTTTTTCTCAAACATGCTAAGTTTTAGCAGTGTCACAACAAAAGTAACCATGCTTAAAAATAAACAAATGGGAAACAAACCAAAGGGAAAAAACCGAAAACTACCTTTCTCTTCTTCGTTTTCTCTGCTTAATTCCGTAAAAACAGGAGCTTCCTACAAAAATAAACACATGTGAAGATTTTAGTTCAAAGTATATTTATTTTCTATATGCAATAGTTCTAAATTACTACTACTGCTGTCGCAAAACAGCTTTAAAAGACAACTCTCAAAAAGACTGAGATGCTAAATAAGAAATTTTATGTACTGCAAATATCTACCACTTTAGAATTAATG